TTTAAACACACGCTATAATTCTCAACGAACGATTTACGCATTTTACTTACTACCGCGCTTGACTCAATTGTCCGTCTATATCTTCAATCTCTCTGTCCGCTATTCAACTCCGATTGATTGTCTGGCGCACTTATATACAAGAATAGAGGGCGCCTAGCAAATACTGGATTATTCGTGACATTCCCCGATCTTTCTAGAACGCATTACGTGTTACCAGCGTCATGTGACTTCCGCTGTCGTAACAATACTATTCATTCAACCTATTTGTGAATTCTAGATGTACGCATTATTCATTTATTTTGGTTTTTTTGTTATTAAGCACAAATCCACACAGTGAGGCTGTTTGATCTGTGCCCGCTGCGAGTATAGAAACCCGGTTTTTAGAGGTATAAGCCTTCAGACTTACCACTGAGCCACTGTGGGGGCATTTTTTATGTAATGCAAATTGAATAAAGTTACAAATGAATGTAAATGTATGTATATTAAGCATCTAATGACTATATTATCAATAAAATCTAGCTGGGCTAGCTCAGGAAGGAATAATTTCCGGATTGTAAACTCGAGGGTTCAATATTCTTATCCCGTTGCTGAAAAAAACATGCTCGGCATTAAAACTTTATTTTTTCGGCATTAATAAGCAGACATTATATATCGTTCTACTCAAAATGTCGCTAAAACAAAACAAAACTTCAGACATATGTTCTAATCAATCTATTTATCTGACATGTTACTTCCCATGTCTCGAGGATCCTCCTGGCGGATAAGTCTCACAGCTAACGACGATAAAATTCAGGTTTCGATACTCGCAGTGGGCAGAGCACAGATAGATCATTGGGTAGCCTTGTGTTTAATTACAAACTATTAGTCACCAGGAAAAATTCTTAATCACGAAACCATGTTCGGTCAGATGAATTTAAGAGTTGATGGTGAGTACTGTTGACTAGGTACCCTTCCACTAGGATAAGAGAAAATAATCCGTGTGAAGTTTGCACGAAATTATAAATTGAACCAACAAGATAAATAAAATCAAGAAAATGTATTTTTGCAAGAAATAAATCATAGCATGGTAGTTAGGGCGCTCGACTCGCAATATGAGGGTTGCAGGTTCGAATTCCTTTCCATTAAACATGCTCACCCTTTCAACCATAAGGACATTATAAAGTAACTCTCAATCCCACTATTCGTTGGTAAAAGAGTAGTCAAAGAGTTGGCGGTGGGTGGTGATGACCAGCTGCTTTCTCTCTAGTCTTTCACTGTTAAATTAGGGACAGCTAGCGCATGTAGCCCTCGTGTAGCTTTGCGCGAAATATCACAATAACAACTACAAAAGGAAAAACATTAATGCTTTTGATGGCAAACAGCTGCACAGATAGCCCATTGTGTTTAACTTCAAACAAAGCAAACAGCATAAATGCATAGGTATATTTGTATGTGCAATCGATATTTAACCATTTGAAATAAGTTATTTTAAAAATAGATTAATGGAATAAAATAGCCTAATTAGTCAACTCACTTTAGCCTTTATTATATTTAGTTTCATATCATTTAATTTGATAATGACCCCTTATAATTCTGTTTAATAATTTATTTTTCTATTTTCTCAACCCTGGTGATGTACACTTAAAAAGTTGCCCTGGTTTCTGTCCATTTTATATACAGGGTAGGTCCATGTGTACTGAATTAAAATTTTGAATTACATCTTTGTCAGTTTTCGTTTAACAAACTTTTGTGATTTAATTGAAAATTAAAGATGACAACGTTGAATTTAAACGAGTTGTTCGATGTAAACAGGTAAGAATATTTTGCATTTAATATTATAGTTATAGGCCTAAACCAAGGTTAAGTTCTTTGCTTAATAAAAAAGTTAAATTTGAAAAAATTGAATACTGAGGATATCTTTCGGCTAAACATTATGATTATATTCGAAGTGTTAAATTTGATGTTTTATTTCAACTATAAAGTTTTAATATTGTGGTATAGCTAATACTGTGTTCCAATCTCTTGGATACTAAGTTATCCATTATACACCCATAAATGAATAATACTATAGTAACAGATCTAAGAATAAGATTCTAACACTAGGTATAGGAAAGCAAAACAGTAATGTAATGCTACTCCCTAATATTACTATTAGTAGTAATGATAATTTTCAGTTAGTAAGTATGAAATTTGTAAGAATGTAAAGTTTAAAATTAAATTTTAAAGATATGAATAATTTATCTCATGTCGGTGATGTTTGATGATGTGATTCATGCTGAGTTTTAGTTCTTAAGTTTTAAATATTTTTGGTGATATCTAGTTATGTAGTAAAATTAAAAACCAATTTGAATTTTAAAAATAAAAATATTGTTTAATGTTGTTTACAACCATAAGGCATGAGTCATTAATTTTAGGAATGTCAGTTTCTTTAAAGTTATATACTTTAAAAGTTGAAGATTAGATGTCTAATCAAAGTGGGAAAAATTTAAAGTGAAATTTTGGATATAATTTTATTATTGATCAAGCTACTTGAATTTTTCCTACTGAATTTTATATTCCAGTGAAAATAAATTTTCTTAAGCTTACCACACAAGTCAAGAAAATTACTGTTTTAAATTTACATTGCTTGTAAAAAAATTGAGATTATCACGGTTGTTTAAGATATTTCAAAAATAATATTATTATGGAGAAAGGTGAGCATGGCTTTTAGTGCTAAACAATGCTTATATTTTACTCTAAACTGATGGGAGAGTTTTAAAACTTACTAAATTTTTTAAATGGGAGAATATGCCTTTGAAATTCAATTTTTGCTAAAGAAAAAGCTGTAGTAGAAAATCACTACAGGTAGTAAGACTAGTGGAATCAAGGTAAGGAAAACTCAGATATGTCTTCAGTTAATTGGGTGGTTTAACTGTAGAATAGTTTACCTTCAAGAATGGTGGAAGCTGTAAAATTCTAAGAATTTAAAAGAGTACATTAGATGGGGATTTTACTTGTAGAGATCATGGTTGAATATAGGAAAAGGGGTGAAAAATAACTACTTTTTTAAACTATTGATATTAATATTCCTGGTAAATGAAAAAACATCAACGTGATCCTTATTTTTTGAAAAGAAGTGTCAAGGGTGGAGCTGGTAATCTAACATTCTGTTACTATTAGTTTGATTGTTATTATTAGCAAGTTGATGGAATTTGTTGTCAGGGGTCATTTAAAAGACCATTTGGAAAGTTGACATTTGAATAGATGTTTCTCAATATTGCTTTTTAAAAGTTTTCTTTCATAACAACTATGTTGGAGTTTCTTGATATGGGTTCTTTTTGGTTGAGAGCACCTTGTTGATATTGTGTATATTTACTTTTAGAAATTCTTTGACAAGGTGCACTAAAAGAGATTAACAAGTTGGATGTTTATGGAATGACAGTAAAGTATATTGAAATTTAATGTTACTCAATATGGTTTTTAAATGTCTTTCTTTTTTTTTTACAAACTTCACAATTTCTTAAAATATTTTTTATCATATTGGCTGAGGCACAGTGGGTGATATGATGTATCTTTTCTTTTAACCTAAAATATGGACAACAAAGGACCATTTGGTTTATCAGGCTATCCTTGCACACCAATCAATGGGAAAATAAAAATTTAAACTGACCCTTTATTTTTCAGGAAATCATCAATTACCCTCATAAACTTTTTCAAAGTGGTGGCCTTTATAACTTTCCCACAGCAATTTATTCCATATGTCAATCACCCTGTTAGAAAAATGAAATTGTTATAACTGGGGGACTAGCCTGTTTTTTTCAAATTGTGAACTTGTGTCATCTTGTCTTGTTATCTTCAGAGTATGGTACAAAGAAATGAGAAACCTTTAGTCTGTTGATATTCCAAAATTGTCTAAACTCCAGTAAGATCACCTCTTACGCTTCTTTTTTTAAGAGAAGAGAAGTTGAGAGATCTTAACATTTTTCTATAAAATAACCATTCCATCCCTGAAATTATTCTAGTAGTACTCTCTATGAACCTTTCCAATAAGTCAATATTCTTTTTCAGATAAGAAGACCAATCTTGTACACAGTATTCAAAGTGAGGCCTAGTTAGTGATTTGAATTAGTACATAATTACCTCTTTTGACTGGTGGCTATAAATGCATCCTAAATTCAGTTATCTGAAATATAACTGAATTTATAAAGTGAATTTTTGCAAAATGTGGCAAACTTTTAGCAAATATTACAAACATATTTAAACTGCAAAATCACTAACAACATCAAGTAATAATCAGCAATAATACTGTTCAGCTATATCTGGTGAACTAACTTGTTACATAACCGTAACCAAATAAAAACAATTGGCTATCTTGCAATATTAGTCACTTTCTCTGGAATAACATCTGTGCCACCAAATTAAAAAAAATGGTTGCAAACTTGAAATAGAAAATAAACACTTTCTATTGGATATAAACATGTTTATCAAATAAGATCATATGATTTTGAATACTGCCTTGAAAGTTAAGGATAGATGGATGGGTTTCCTGTTGTGGTTGGGTAATTTATTAATATTACAGCAAGTATAGGAATAAGGACATTGAAAGTGTACATTTGACTTTGTCATTATGTATAGATTGTACTTATATTACTTAAACAATATAGATGTTATAATATTGAAGTTGTACCAATTAAAACGGGAGAATTGAGAGTGCTTGCGTGTCGTGACAACAGAAGTAAAGATTAGGATTTTTTCTCTGATATTTTCTTTTGAATTTTACAAATTAAAACATACACATTATTTAAGAATTTTATTATGAACTGTATTCTGATGCTAATTTTATTGTCATACTTTGATCATGTTTATTTAAATTTTGAATGTAACTCTGTAAAACAGGGCATGTGTAAAAGAGCCAGCCCATACATAAAGGGTTAAAATCCTGGGAAAAGCCTTACCTGCTCTTAGTTTTTTATCTACTTCAAATCTCTACTTACACGAAGGGGATAATATTTTGAGGTCTATTCCAGTGTTTCTTGTAGAGTGATTATGAATAAAAAACTGTTAACATGTTCCATTTTACCTATAGCCCTGAACTCATCCATTTTGTTTCTAATGCTCCTTACATTAGAATAATAGTAAAAGATTGATGAGAATGTTGGATGTCTATGGAATTAGTGGAAATGTTAAGAAGTGGTTAGAAAATTGGCTTATTGTGATATTCTAGTTTAACACACATGTACAGTGAAACTTACACCAGATACAACTTAAAAATTAACTTTGATCTTTTTTTTTGTAGGTTATTGTAGGTCTGTTACAAAATGAATATATCAGTTAGTAATTTTTTAACATGACACTAATTCAACAACAACAACAGCAGCAATTCTTCAGGTCTTATGTATGATTCTAAGTACTTTCTTTTATGTCTGAATTTGTTAATTGCTGACCTGTAACTTCACATTACAGTATACTGCAACCATTTTACATGGTCCTCTACACTCAACTTTATAATTATTTAACTAGATTTAAAATTCATACCCATAAACTAAGAGAGTAAGAAGTGGTGAACTAGCATCATACAAGAGGACGATTTTAACCTTGAAAACAGATACATGTTGCATTTCATTATATAACATTTTTGGCAAATTGGTTCAGAATGTAAATATAAAAATTGATTGGTATTAGTACAACCTCGAGCTGTAAACAAGAATATATGATATATACAGCTAGGTGACTAAAAGATTGAACCAATGAGTATTTAAATCTCATAAGTGTAAACCCACATAAGTAGCAAAACACATACTTCAGTGTAACAAAACTTCATTGTCCAGCCATCAGAACATAGAATGAGAGAAAGCTCCATATTTTGGAAACCATTATTGATGAAATTTAGAAAATCAGTTATATTGTACTACATTGCCACTTCCTAAGATGCCTCAGAGTAAGCAGATAGTTAAATTAAGCTTTTGAAAATGTGCATGATTAACTACAGCATTCATGCTTTGGTTTATCATAAATGATTCTTGTTTGAAAAATTTTACTGGTTTATCAGAATACTGCTTTGAGGATATTTGGTGTCTCATCACTAGGGATAAAACAAATATCCAATCCAATCAGGTAGTATGCTTTTACAGTGAAACTTGATCTAATCTGATATTAATTTTGTAATGATTCAAATAATCAGATATCATTTTCATCAGTGAGGATTGTATTCCAATATCACACAGACATGATAATACATACTAATTGCATCACACATGATATGTACTATTGCATCATATAGCCCATTTGTCGTTTCCTCTATCTTCTAAACTTTTATATTTTTTCCAGAATTAAAGAGTGGGAATCATAATACACAGAGTTGTTATGTAGTTTAAATAAAAATCTTGCTCACCCATTGTATTGCCACTGTTTTACACAGTGGCCATGACAGCAAGCAGAATCCAAACAACAATCTGGACAGGAGGATTGGGAGTATAAAGCATTGTCACACTGGTGTCTGCCACATTCTATTAAAGGGTTTGCAATGGCTTGTCACTCATGTGGAACTACACATAAATTTTCAAACACTAAAGATAAAGTAACTGGTGTAATAATTTACTATATAATGAAGTTGTAGCTCACATCTGCAGCAATTTGTTTAATACGTATGGCTACTTATGCTGTCTGATCTAAATGCAGTTGGACATTAGGAGCCAGATATCTGACTAAAACCATCACATGTATTTTTCTCATTCTTGCCCATCATTATATTGATTTGTCTCTGATAACAGGATCATCATTAGTTTTGTATGCTTAGAGGTTATTTTTATTAGTTTTTTTTCTACTGTTCTTCAAGAGATACATGTTTGTCCTTTTTTTCCCATTCATAAAGATGCTCATAATTTTTATCTCATTTGAGGCTGGAAATTGTTTGATTTTTATTGACCATAGGTCTTTGACGAGCAAATATTTTTTCTTTCTTTTGTCTTCAGCAACTACAGAAATTAAGTTGAGTTAAGGTGTGGGGACCCAAGGTTGATTTCGTGGCTACATTAGCTTTCTCCATTGTGTAATGTCACATTTAATTTTCCATCACCCTCCAGGCCCTTAGTTATAGAGCAAAAGTTAATTTAGAGATGTTTATAGAATCCAATAGTTTTGGCCCCAGAAGCTTATTGATTTTATGGAAAGATTTACAACTATTCAGTAATTCCATTTTAAGTGATGTTTTTTACCTTCTCCTTACCAGCTGGTAACTTATTGTAATCATCTGATGCTGCACTTGCCTTGGATATTATACCTTTGTATCCTTTTCCATGTTTGCTGAAAAATGTTACTTTGTTTTGCCCTAATTGGCATTACATTTTGGCCTAAACTTTTTCATTTGTCATATCTAGCAATCTTAGTCACACCATGTGGTTTCTCCATCTTTATTTAGATTGCCACTTCTGTTTAGATGACATGGTTGATTCTTTCACATTCTAAGTTGCCCTATTATGATTGAGTTGATTAACACTCAATATTTCTTTACCAGTAGGCTGGTTTTCCTTCGCTTTGCTTGTTTTTTATCCATCTGAGAGTTCTTAACAGTATCTCTATAGAACTTTGGTATGACTAAAATATGTAACAGAATCATAAACAAAAAAAATGTGACTTCTGTATGGACAGTCACTTATGTTCCTCATAAGTGTTGTTTCTGTGGTTGTGTTAGATTTTTGTCTATGCATTCCAAAATGCATGTGCCAAAAAAATGGGTCTTTGCTTTTGGGAGTCGTGTTGAAATACTTCTATTCTTTTGCCCAAAATGAATAAATTTTGCTATTTTGCCATGATAAACATTTTTCATCATGTAAACTTGACATCTCTGTGACCTTTAGGTTTAAATCTAATAACTGTTAAATTGAGGTCATTTGTACTGTATGTCAGTGAGTATTTATGCTTGACACGTGTCCTGCAATAGATTAAACCAGTAATTCAATGATTTGCAAGTTTTTTGTACAATAAGTGAGATTTTTGCTAATTTTGATACAGTTGAACCCAAATAATATCAAATATATTCACTAATTATAAGAAATGTCAACGTCATGTTTTGAATTGTTTGCATGCATGTGTGAAGTACCTGCATGTTGATCATGAATGTTCATCAGCATTGTAAACAGATACAGAACTGGACTAGACCTTGTTCAAGGTAATAATAAGTTATGTAACTAAAAAAAATGATGAATTAAAATTTAAAATTGAATTTTTATTGAGTTTGATTTGTAACTGGAAGAAATATTGTTTTTAAGAAACTTATGTTGACTGCTTTATTAAAAATGATAAATGTTTTATTAACTGATTTTGAAAAAGTGTTATTGTAGTTAATAATTTAAAATAAAATTCTATGAAGTTTAGTACATATAAGTTTTAGAATTGGTTTTCATTAAAATATTTTTAGTTTCTTAATACTTAGATAAGTTAGATCTGTTTTTTAATTTTAATTCAGTTTTGAATATAAAGTAAGTACTGAGCAACAAGGCTTGTATTGTGTCAGTTGTTGAACTTGTTTCGAGAATAATGTAAAACAAAATTATAGGAACTACAGTAAATTACAAAATAAGTAACATTGCATCATCTTGAATGTTTTACATTCAGTCATATTTAATAAAAAATAAATAAAAAGTAAAGCAAAAGATAAGAGTAAAAAATGAATAAATAAATATAGCAAAAGTCAAACAGTTTAACACAAACACAATTTAAAATATTCCCAATATTATTATGCACTTGAAAGAGCATAAAGACCATGTGTCTCAGGTCTCAAAGTTATAATTCATTTTTTAAATCAGAATTTGTGCCTGTTTAGTAGTCGTAAAGATTGTGATTACATGTCTGCAGTTGAAATGTTGGGCATTTCTACTGAGAAAACCATCAGGTCTTCACTGTGCTCTGCAGTCAAGTAGCTTCTTTGTGGCTTGAAAAATGTGATTTGTGACACTGAATGTACATTTGCATTGCACTGTGGCAATGGGTATTATGAGTGTTATACTTGAAAGCTTCTAAAAACTGGGGAAATATATCAACATAGTTTGTTGCCAAAGCCTGACAGGTACATCCCTTTCTCATTTTTGTGCATCTATGGTGCAAATATTTGCATTATGCAACTACTGGTTGTTACATATATATATGGATGATTTAGCTGTCATTCAGTCTTGTTTTAGTAGTGGGTAGGGTGTTACTGGAATTTTTCCTGTCCCTCTGCCTTGATGCACTCTTAATGAGGAAGCCTTACATTCAGTATCCATGATATTCTTTTTTATTTTTCTCTCTAGATCAACTTATATGTCCTAATAGTAAAGATAGGGTCCCATTAGGGACACCATCTATAATCCAATTCTACTGTTTGTAGTAACTTAAGAGTTGTTTTCTAGTTAAGGCATTTAACTGTATATACATTTATGTTTTGGATTATGTACATATTCTAGTGGGTTCTCACTCTTCATTCCTGTTACAATCTGAGATGAAGCATATCTGCCCTTGTTCTCATTAACTATGGCTTCCCACTGTACATAATTGTTCAGATTTATGAAAATAATGTCACACGTTTCATGTCAGTTGATGTTTGGACAGATTTTCTGACCAGTCATATGTGAATGATTTTGGTAGTAAGAGCTTTCCACTCTCTAGAATGATTGTTGTCTCCTTTTTACCAGTTAACTTATTCATTACAGAGATTCTATTTTTACATTTTTATCACAATACAGTACCCTTGATAAGCATTGAAATGAAATTCAAATAAGTACCTACTTTAACTCTAAACAGACTTGTTCTCACCTTTTTTCTTCATTTGATAAGAGTGATCTTAGCATATAGAAAACTGTTTTATAATGTTCTGCCTTTGATCTTTTCTTTCAGGTGTCAACATTCAGTGGATGCATTTGCTCTGTTTTTCTACTTCCCTATTGGTTTAGTACTTGCTGTTTTAAGAATTTTCATTGGCTGCCACGCTTTTCTGATAGCTTGTGTTTTATCCAAGTTGTCTTCTGTAAGGTTGTAAGTATGAAATTAGTTTTAGTATTTGAGCTGTAAATGCACATTGTTAATAAGAAATATTTAAGTATTGTTCTTTTTGTTATTGCTTAAATCAGTACTTTCTATTAAACGTTTTTCTTTCTTTAACAAGCAAAAATAGGGGGATGAAGGATGTTCATTTTCAGTAGTTTTATGTTATTGGTACACTTTAACTATTGAATGATTTGACTTTGAAAGCTGTAACATAGACACTTTTCCATGAGTTTGTTATATTGAAAACAGAAAATAGTGTCATAAAATAATTACATATTTATGATAAATATGCTGTTATATATGTGATACCAGTTGTGGTGAGATTCTTATGTAGTAATAAAGCATTTTTGTGGATATAAAAGTAGTAGTTTTTTAAATGTATTATGGTACATGTAGAAAGCATTGTCCCATTCAATACAGAACAGAAAATATCAGTGAGAGGAGGACACTTTTACCCCAAAACTTGCTATTTACTGATGTGGAACATCTGAAGAATGTGGGTGTTATTGATAATAAGTCACTTTTTGTACCTGTAGGTGATAATTCTCATATATAAAGGGTAAACCTCTGCTGCTAAGTGAGCTTTTGTTATGATTGCGTTATAACAGATGTTAATCAAGAGCATTGAAGTAAGCAGAAATATGCTTTGTATTTCTTCAGACATTTAATTTGTACCACAGATTTTTAGCTAGCATTATTTACATGATATTGTTTTTGGCAAGATGAAAAAAAATATATTTATGATAAATATGCTGTTATATATATGTGATACCAGTTGTTGTGGTGAGATTCTTATGTAGTAATAAAGTATTTTTGTGGATATAAAAGTAGTAATTTTTAAATGTATTATGGTGCATGCAGAAAGCATTGTCCCATTCAATACAGAACAGTAGTATGACAGAACATGAGAGAATGTATATACATTCAAGGTTTTATGTTGTAAATCACCAAGACTGCTGTGATACAATAATAACAATTTTGTGACACATTATACATCATAGAATAACATTTTGAATTTCATTTTTGTGCATTCTTTGTTGAATTGAACTTTAAATTGTAGAATGAATGCCAGTGCCTCCAAGAGTAACATATCATAACCACATAATTTTGTCACATTTACTTGTTGATTAAGATTGAATCACTACCTATATCCTAGTAACAAAACTTAAATAGAGTAAAACAGCAAAAATTACAAAGTACAGTAATGTTTAACATTTGCAACGAATGCGTGAAAATAACAAAAAAACTAAAAATGGTGACAAACTTCCTTGCCCCTGGTCTTGTTGGGCCCTCACAGTAACACCTTATAGACTTTTAATTGACTTAAAAACAACAGAATATTTTTGTTGTTGTGTTTTATGGCGAGCTCTTGTTGGGCTCTCATAGCAGTGTAGTAGTAACACCTTATAGACGTTTAATTGACTTAAAAACAACAAATCTTTTGTTGTTGTTTTTATGGTATGTCTTTGTTGGAATCTCATAGCAGTGTAGAAGTGACACCTTATAGACCTTTAATTGACAGATCTAATGACTAAGTTAATAGATCTAGATGTAACATTTGTTCTAAAAGCTAGGCCTAATAAATCTAAATCTAGAATTGATGAGGCAGGGTTATATCTAGATCTGGGTAGATTCAATACAAGGTGCTTTCAATCTATACACCCAAACCTTAGGTCTAGTTTAGATATATAAAGCTAAATTTCTGTCATTATTACATCAAGATCCAAACTTAAGATTAAAAAGATGGAAATAGCAGGTCTAACATTAATGTTAGATCTAGATATACTAGCGACTTAATCTAGGAACTGAAATCTAGCACCACTAATTAGTTAGCCTATATTTATGTTTTCTCATTCTATCAAAACTTTTAATATTAAATATAGCCTTTGAGCCTCTTGGCTTATATTATGTTATGATTACACCCTTCTCCACAGTGTGTGTAATTTTCATTTGAGCAATTTCAGACTTGTCTCCTGTATTGTTCATGTAGTTAATCCTATCGAGTTTTTAAATGTGATTTAGCAACTGCCAGTAATTTATATGGTGCTCATAAGCATGATTTACTAGCATATACACTCATCTGCATTGGTTTTCTTACTGTTGTGTCACATTAATTAACATGAGTATGGGTGGTCTAAATAATGGCAGTTAAAGTGAAACCATGTCCATATGTGCCTAGCCAGTCGTGAGTTGCAACTATAATTGTATAATTTGTGGTTAGGAACTTAGGAAAGTAGAATGCTTCCTTTCATCTGACAATTTGCATGTTGCAACTAAATATTGTAGTCAGTATTTATTAATTTATTCTTTTAGCCCATTATGTCAAAAAAGAAAGTGGGGCACAGGGACGCAAGAGACGTGCACAATTTGCAGCTTCGATAGTGGAGTCAAGCAAATTGATGAGAGCTCTCCTTGCTGGAAGTGATGACACCAGTAAGTCAGCATCTGTTCCTTTTGATGGCAGCAAAGAGATCAAATTGCAAGATTGTGAACATGCTATTTCATTTGAAAAAGAAAACAATGAAAAACTGTTCTCTGTCCTGTTGAAAGCTAAAATAATAATAAACAAGAGGATTCCACTTTGTCAGAAACAAATCCATAGAATAGTGTTGCTAAGCTAAAAGAGGATGACCTAATAGATAGTTTAACACATGGATATTGGATTTATGAAGTTTTATACAACAGGCTCAGCAGTTGTAATATATGCACATTGCACAGAGATTGTTGAAGTTGGAGCACATGAATTTCAACATAAAGAAGGTCCATTTGATGCCAAAGATGAGTGTTCTATAACTGCATTTTGGTTCAAACAATGCCTTCTGAATGGACAAGAGGTCAATTGTTCCTGGTTGGTGTCTTCACCTCTACATAAAGCAGCATACTGCTTTTGTTTTTGTTTTTTTTTCATCTACATTTATGACATCTGATAGTCAGTCTGCTTTCAAAACACAGGGTGGATTCTCTAAGTGGAAAAAAGTTGAAAAGTTAAATGCCCAAGAAAATAGTGACAGTCATCATGAGTCATTTGCTGCTTGGAAAAAAACTGAGTGCTGAATTCATCTTCAAAGTGGCATTGATGAAGAGCTGCAAAGGCAAATTCAGCAAGAAAAATAAATGGAGAACTGTACTGCGACGGTT